CTGCGAGGAACTCTGCAAAAAACGCATCTTCGCACGGGCAGCCCGTGCGTTGGCCAATTTTTTTTTAACATGTAAGCCTTTTGTCCACACTTTCATGCGGGAACTTTTACTAATTTCTCAATTCTTATTTCGTGATTCTCTCTTCTATTCTCCTTCCTATTTCAATGCACTTTTCTATTGCTACTGCTCTTGAGTGCTACAAAAAATCATAAAAATCGCAACTGTTGAGTCTCCATATTTACTGAGATGCATACACGCGGGAAACAGCTCCGAGGCTCAGTTCAAGTGAAATTTTGCGCCCAAAAAATTCCGTATATCGCCCATTATGAATTGCGCCAGTTTATCACAGAAATCTCTTCATTACCCCCGCGGGGCAAAGGGCCGGTAGTGTAATGAATAGAGAGATTGGACTTAAGTGTCATGTATAAGAAGACATTTTACGGTGCAGCCTGTCTGTGTGTCTCATCCCCTAGCTGTAAACACTGACCGAATTTTGCATGATTATTACGATTCGAAGGATTCGAAAGAGTGGCAATAAAAAATTCGATCTGCTTTGACTCGCACTGTTTGAAAAGAGACTCCGTCCACGATACACCTCCCACTTCATGTGCGCCATTTATCCCTGTGGGAGTGTGTCGGCTACATTTTTTTAAATATGTAGGAACAGGATTTAACGGTTTTCACAGATCCCGTAAAATATTTGCTCTGCGAGGCTTTTTGAAATTGCTTGAGGATAAATCGACAATTGCCAAAACTCGTCTCGGTTCCACTTGGTATTCGCTTCGACGCGATGCTAGATTCGGTACTGTGCTCACCTCGGCTCGGCCTGGGGATTTGGCGAGTTGCGGGGTTTCTTCTTTTCGAGGATTACATGAATTGCAGTTTTACAAGGGTTTTGCGAAAATGTTCACATCACAGCAGCATGCATGTTGTACGGAAATCTGTTCAGTCACGGATTTTTTCTTCTTCGGGATTTGCGTGGATCTGTGCTTACGGGGGTTTTTCGCGGAGTTGTAAACACCGGTACAGCGTGATATACGTACGTGTTAACGTCAGGCTGCACAGCTTTTGTTTGGCACTGTGGTTTTTGTTGTTGTTCAGGTTAAATGGCAGCAGAGGTGGCGATGAACGACGAGGACGAGCAGCAGGGATACACCTGGGAAGTGGACTATGCTGAAGGTTCGAGACGCTTCTTATCCGTTCTTAATAACAAACATAAGTACAGCGCTTTTGTACGTCTCCTGTTAGTCATCTCTGTGGCCTACGTGAGACCGTCATACTAACGAGGAACCTGTCGGGCGGTGTTGAGTTAAGACGTATATGACTTAATGGACCAGGACGTCTTATCTCACTCTTACCTTCCCTTCCTTCATGCTGTAATCTATCGCGCTTTCTCTATTTATTCCTACTCGTACCCGCATGCATAGTTCGGCCTGTGTTTACAGCTAAAGGATGAAACATGGAGACTGCTGCATCGTAAAATATCACCTCACTACTACTACTACATCTAAACGATGAAAGACAGTTTTGCACCGTAAAAGTACCACCTCACGCATGAGACGCCTGAGTACAATCCTTTTGGTCTGTTGTTCCAGGATTGCTACAATCAACTTGCAACTTCGCTCAGACGATTTGCAG